ACCACTTTCCTCCGTGGCACGGTGGAAGGAAAGGTAGGAGAGGCCCTGACGTCACTCATTGTGAAGCCGAGATGAAGCCGGAAGTCGGCCATATTGACTAGGCAAATTCTCCTCGCTTGTTTACATCCGAATGTAAAGCAGAAGGCACGACTCTCTCTCCGGCTCGGAAAGCACGTGGGCTGCGCAGCACGTGTGTCGTGACGATCCGAAACTAATGGAACGGGGCTCATCACTCTGAGCCTGCGGGACACCTTCAGCGAAATCGCTTCGTCCGAGTAATAACAGACAGTAACAGCTCGCCGACAACGAAGCAACTACGAGAGAACGCGCGCTATATGCACTGACAACGGCGAGTGCTTTCACGTCATTAATTCAGCAACTGTACAGACAACACGATCAGTCGTGCGCCTTCTACGGTTGCATTCCGCCACGCGGCTGACGCAGCGTCCTGCCACTGTGTCCGTGTTCCGCGTGAAACTCACCGGCGTCAGCATTCTGTGACCGTGGTGACTTGAGCATGGTGCTAGTGACAGTTGAACGCGGTTGCTGTTACGTTGAGATTACATGCAATGCTGGTGGAGAATGTACCAAGCGGAACAGAAAAGGTGTTTTATACGCACATGGAAGTTGTTACTGTACACACACAACACGAAACTACGTATGTGCACATGGTCCTCATGGCGTCTTGCTGGGCTCAACAGCGTCGTCCATTGTCACAAGCAGGAGCACTGCTCAACCGTCACTGACCTGCAAGGCGTTCGTCGTCATTCAGCTTCGTCATGGTGCCCAACGCAATTTCGCTGAACACCAACTGCTTCATCTGCGTCATCCGCCGCACGACACATAGATATGCACTTGTTCTATGCACTGTTGAAACCCCGTGATGGACAAAGGGATTTGTAAACATTGCTAAGAGTAATGTAACTGCCAAGAGAACACTGCGTAACCAATAACGCGGCGCAGAGCACAGATATTGTCCGCCACGGCTCAGCACGAGACCTGGGGAGGCACACATTCCGCCGCCAGCCGCGGCCGCTCACTGCTAGACCAGCTCCACTGCGCAACACGTAACCATAGTAACGCCGCCATTTTGCCTAGTGAATATGGCCGCCATGATGTCATTTCCGCCACACTTTTCACGCCCCGCGCCGGCTGGGCATGCCCTCTCCTACCTTTTCTTCCTCTGTGCTCCGTGGCGACCACAGTACAATACACCTTCAGCACGCGAGGTGTTCTGTAGGGTCACTACCTCGCGCCGCGTGCTCAACATTCAAGGCACAGCAAGCAGGTTGTGAATCTGAAGCCTTGGTCGATGTAATCTATCTTTACCCATTCACTTATTATCAGTCCCGCAGCCTCACTTTGCGTGGACACCATCAAGCGCGCTATTTGAAGTTTGCGTCAAGTTCGACGAGAGATGGATTCAACTCAATCCCAGCCTCGATCAAAAAGAAAAAAAAAAAAACACTATTTGGAGCCTGGATCTCAATATGTAGTACCTCGGACAAGGAGCGGTGGAGGCGCAGTCGGCCAACCAGCTACACTCAGCAATAGCATTCCTCAGTCTTTAGCTGGTAATTGATGTTCTGGAGTAGCGGCCTTTGACACGCGAAGTCTGAGTGATGCGCATGGTGACAGCAATGAAAATCCTGATCCCTACGACACTTACGGCTTCGAGGAAAACTCGCTCAGCGATTCCGACCGGACTGCAGATGCAGGCTCGCAACAATTTTGGCATGAGCGACACTTTTTAAATGCAACAATGGCATGTATTTTACACTGGTGCATGTCAATAAACTGTCAGGCTTTGTGTGTGTGCTCATGTGTGTGAGGCTTACATCAAAACTATTCAAGAAACCATTTCACATTGGTGTTTGCTCAGAAACAGCGAGAAAAAGTTGTGCTTCTGCCGAAGGATGTGGCCAGTGTGTTTGCACATGAAAGTTGGATGTGTTTGCTATGTTGCTGATATACCAAACTTGTTTAAAACTTGTGACTATATAGCCAGTCTAATATGAGTTTAGCAAGGTAGGACAACTACATGTTAGCTTGATCCTTTCTAGTTGTTGTTCTCTTCACAACTGAACTTTTCTCATGGTAGGCAGTTTTTTGTGTGTGTGTCTGTGTGTGTGTTTTGCAGTCAAATGCTTTAGCCTTAATTAGTACATGGTTTTTGATTTATAAATCTTGTGAGGATTACAGGCAAGTAATATAGCAGGTCTGTGCCACTGCTTGGGCTTTGTGAAAAGACACACCTGTGAATAACAGATGCTGCTATCAACATATTAGCCAAAACTTGCAGCTGCAAGTGACTTTTTTTATATAGATGACTGTGCTCACTTCGAATTTTCGGATGCCTGTATGTGGTGTAAAACAACTGAAAGCATGCTATTGGCCTATAGCCAAAATAAATCAAGAGCAGCATTTTAATCGAATGTGCTTCTTGCCACAGTGTGCTGCCACATGCTGGCACTGCTGTCCAAAATCTTCTAACATTGCCTAGTCACACTCGCACATGGGAACGGCAACACGGAAAAGCTACTGTGTTTCTTCAAGCATGCTCTAGCTCATAATGTGTGCTTACATATCGCACTTCTTTACTGCCATTCCTCCCTGTAGTTTTCGGCGCAGCTTGTTGTGCCGACGAGAAAAAAAAGAAAGCGGTTGAAGTGCGCAATAAACCCCTCAACTTGCTTTGAAATATTTCTGGCAGTGGATTTGCGAGACATTAAGTTTTGATGATGAGGTCAATTAATGATTTCTCAAAGAAGCATTTCTTTGTTTCTTTAAAGTATCTCATCCAGTATGGATTATGACACTAATGTAGTGGCTCGTCATTAAAGGCAAAGCACTATGTGGGAGAGACAGCTGGGGTTGGCTTGTGTTGTGAAAGGGAGAAACTGCAGCACCACCCGAGGCTTTCGAATCCACGCCATTTGGAAAAATTATTGTATCAGCATGCTCATTTCACAGTAGTGGACTGATTATTAAAGTTATCTCCCTTGGATTGTTTACTGGCCCTATAACTTAAAATTTAGAAATTATGTTAATATAGCTCTGTGATGAGAAGTTTTGTTTGTATTGTTTCAAGTTATGTTTATACTGTCATCTGATAAGCTTTGGATACTAGCATCTTGAAATTTCTAGATGTCATCTATCATTGTCAGCATTAACTGTGTTGCTATCTGGCACCTGCAATCCCATTTGTACACAGAATAAAGCGTTCATCTAGGCTGTAAGCTGCTTTGCATATTTGCATATCTTGCATATTTGAAGCTCAGTTTGTCAATTATGCACCACCATGAAACATTGTACATTGTATTCTACGCATCCAAAAGCTGCCAGTTGCACTCTTTGAGTCATCATAATATTTCACACAATGGTCGTCAAGTGTTCAATAGAAAACACTGATACACTAATATACATGCAGAAATGACCAATCACATATATGTGGGCTGTGTGTTCAAAAAAAGAACTGCCGTTAAAATGACAGTAATGCATCTTATGAAGATCCGATAAATGAACAAAAGAATAAAAACCTATAGACTAATATATGCCATATAAATGACCAATCAAACTTATTCAAAAGCTGGTAGCACTGGTAAGACTGCGTATCAGTCTGATATGAGACTGGTGGCACTGGTAAGAAAATGTATCAGACTGATATGAATGTCTATAAGAACTGGTAAGACTTTGTATCAGTCTGGTACAAGACTGGTACAACTTATAGGAAACTGTATCAGACTGATTCAGACCTCTATCAGAGTTTTGCTAGGGAGAGCACTCCTGTTGGTAGTAATGACATGTATACCTTCTTAAACATTTATCTTTCACTTCAACGTCAACTGTTAGGTATTTGCTGTTAGTGTCTTATTAAAGCTTGTCCACCCTTCCAAATCTACGGAAGGCTGATTCATTATTTTTCTACTGGTACACCAGCTAGCCTTAAACTTTAATCTTGGTTGAAGTTCCTGACTTCTTTGTTCCATAAAAAACTTATTATCTTTTAAACACCATCTTTCTGGAGTCTTTCTATTACACACTTTCGGTCCTCATGATGGGATGCCACCCTTTGAACATACGAACACAGCAGACGCAGTTGGCCAAACCAAACACTTGTACATTTATTCAACTAATTTTACAAGCAACGATATCACCAGCTAAATCAAATACGTGCCACTAGTGACATGCTAAAACAATGTTATACAATGTTTCAATGCTCTCAACGAATGTAACAAGGGCCACAAGGTTACGCGAAGGCTGTGGGGTTGATGTTTTTTTTAACTCGACAAGATGGGATCCACGGGACTTGTCCCACTGTAGCTATATTCAGCAGACCTCCTGCAGGAGACGTCCATCCCAATCATCGTCTTAGCACCAAAGATACTTGTTAATCTTTTCATGCGGCCACCTAGTCTCACCTCTAGGCAGCACTGCTGGTACTACCGCACTAACCATAATGATGGTGAAGGTGTACCTGCATGAGCGCTGTGCCACCTACCACTCGGCGTTTGTCGAACCTAAATGCGATCTATCCACGAGACAGGTGTGCACCTCAACATGCAAACAACTTCACAGGGGTGATAGCACTCCCACAACATTGCCAAGATGTGCTGAAACCGCAACCATAGGTAAGAAAAAATGTGGCAGTCAGACTCACTCAAGAAATATATTTTGCACTGAGAACTTGCACGGACTCAGACTCACGAAAATTTTCCTCAGCTGGACTTACTCGGACTTAAACTCACTGAAATATTTCTCAGCCAGCCACTCTCGGGAAACTCTTTGAACTATTATTCACTCTGCAGTCTGAGTCTGAGTGAGCTTGCCGACCTAAGTAACACCCAGCCTTCGGAGTGCTAATCACCACACTTCCCGGGACATTAATTAGCTTAGAAAGTAGCTTGTCACGGCAGTCTGATGTGTGGAGGTTCTCACAAAAGATCTGTAACAAAGTATTCGCACGTCTGTGTGAAAAAAGTTTTTCAATATCGTTGCAGAGGTAAGCGCTACTTTGGCCTGGATGCTGTGAAGCCGGAGGTGCGCAGGAATTCACAGCTGAGCTTTCCCTTCTTGCCGTCGGCCAAAATTTCCAAGGTGAGTTGCTGCTGCATTGGTGCCGTCTTAGTGACTGGAAACTAGGGCTGCTGCTATAGTAACAGTGTAAAACCTGTGTTGAACTTCATTGTGTGTAGCAACGAAGTTCTCTAGAAATGAAGTTTTGTGATGAATTTCCTTACTTGCACTTTATTTTACATTCTGTAACAAGACCATGCTAATTTTCATTGTGTTCCTGTGTCACTTTTAGAAAGAAATTGGTCAGATATTGGGATACTCAGTGGCCTGCATGCCAAACTGTATTTAGGAGCAGAGGACCTATGTTGGGCCTTTAGTTTCTGCTCCCAATCCTGTAATACCTTCAACATAGCATTACTTGGCATTTGGCACTTAGTATGACCCCCGTATTTTAGAACTTCCCTTCACTCAACGCTTTGCCTTCACGTGAGAAAGCCGATGGGAGCGCCATCTCTAAGCATGGCAAATCACTGCATATCAGCAATAGTCTGCTGCGATTCTTGAGTAGCGCAGCCTCACTTTCAGCCAAGTGCTGGCGCAGTGCTCAGCTCTGTCAAGTGAAGGGTGAAAGTCGAGTGGAGGAGCGTTTGTGAAAAAGGGAGTTAGTATCTGGATCTGTCGTCCCCATGTAATGCACTAGAAAACAAGCTTTGTATGTACTATTCATAGCAGCAATGAAGAAGATAGTTATATTACTTCACTTTTTCTAATGAGAGCGTTGTAAAGATGGGTGTGTGGATGAGTCGACAAGTGGGACTTGTCAAGGCTGATTTCCTGACGCTTCAATGCTTCGTACCCTTTCCTCCAATCTCAAAAAACGCTAGGCCTGCCCGGTAGGCGCAGCACAGTCACAGCGAAAGCTACCCTTTTTTCCAATCTCAAAAAACACTAGGCCTGCCCGGTAGGTGCAGCACAGTCACAGCGAAAGCTAGAAGAGCAGCCTTTCAGAGCCTTTTCAAAACACTCATTGGGAAACCACTGCAAGCACACTTGCTTGGTACCCACTAGGTCTATTCTATTTTTCGTCATTCTTCTGAGAAGCATGGTATCCGCTAAACGCTTGCTAGGAATTTTGTGCCAACTGCCCATGCAGTGGCTGACGACATTGAGGAATTATGGCTGAAGTGGGTATGCCTCACAGTTAATAAAGAAACAAGAACAAGTTTTTGTAATGGGTTCGAGCATTGGACGGCCACTCGTTACGCTAATTGCATTGTGCGACGACTGGTTGTTCTTTCGCTGTTGTAAAACGCTTTATAAGTCGTATTAACGCAATTGCTTTCCCAACATCAAGCCTGCCTAAGGCAAGTTTGACAACAAGTCACGAGCACCGGAGTAGCTCAGTGGTAGAATACTGGGCTGGCACCCAGCGGACCCGGGTTCAAGCCCCACAGTGCCATTGGTGCTAGGTCATGCCTGCCTAAGGCAAGTTTGACAAGTTAGAAGCATCGGCGTAACTCACTGGTAGAATATTTTGCTGGAACCCAGCGGACCCGGATTCAAGCCCCACTGGGTCATTTGTGCAAAGTTTTTTTTTTCTAATTTCACGTGATGTGCTTACGACATTAGCGGCAGGTGGTGATGGTGGACAACATGCAACTGCGCGTGACCGGAGTTGTGATCTCATAACAGCTTTCGCTGTAAAAGAGGAGTAGAGAGTAGGTTCAAAAGTGGGGGACAACGGCCTCTGTGAGGCAGAACGTGAAGAAAAAAAGGGAGGTGGGGGGTGAGGGGAATGCCCACGATTTACTGAATTACTGTATTGACTCGCATATTCCTCGCACTTTTCTTGGCGAAAAACCGATGCAAAGTTTGGGGTGCGAGAATTACTCTGGGAAAGCTTTCCACGAAAACTGTACAGAGCGAAAAAGAAAACGAAGTGGCCGCAAATCAGGATTCTTCACACCAGCACCTAAGAGCAAGCTTTGAGAAGTACTAATTAAAACTTATCTCTACAATAAAAGCACAGGTTCAACACAAGGCGAGATTTGAGACAAAAAAAGTGCAAGCAAATAGTAGAGAATTAAAATAGCATACGCAAAGGTTGTGGGCGTTGCGAACGTAGCCGTAGCGCATACAAGACACGCGAAAACGCGCACTTGCCACTTTGGCTTGGCTTGAAATAAATTGAACCTTTGTGCAATAATAGTACGCTTGATAATTAATAGAAGGCGCCAGATGGCGGGCACTATCATCATCAGTGCGGTCTTGTGCATGAGATCAGAAGTTCAAGCAAGATTAGAAATTAAGCAACGTGGAATAGGTAGGCTTGCTTTAGGAGCTCACGGGAATACACCAAATCAGGGAGTACAAGGTGATATGGGATGGACATCATTTGAGGGCAGGGAAGCTAGCAGCAAAATAAAATTTGGGAAGCGATTGAGAGAAATGGGGGAGGAGCGTTGGGCTAGGAAGGTTTTCAGCTACTTGTACATGAAGAATGTCGATGCAAAATGGAGGAAGCGAACCAGGAAGTTGACTGGTAAATACTTAGAAAACAGCAGGTGGCCAAACCAAAAAGAACTATCGGTTAAAAAGAAAGTGAAGGAAACGGAGACTGACATGTGGAGAATGGGCATGATTAAGAAGTCCGCACTAGAGATCTATCGAACTTTTAAGCAGGAAATTGCCAAGAAAAGGATCTATGATAATACTCGGGGTAGTTCTCTACTGTTTGAGGCCAGGACGAGAGTACTGCGAACCAAGACATATCGGGCCAAATACGAAGGGGTAGACACAGTATGCAGTGCATGTGAAGAGGAAGAAGAAACTGCCGAACACTTGATAATGTTCTGTAAAGGGCTTCACCCTATAGTTCAGGATGATGGCGCAGAGTTTTTCAAAGCACTGGGGTTTAGGGACCGGGAGGGCAAAATAGACTTTAAGCGGGTAGACTTAACTAGAAGGAGGTTATGTGATTGGTGGCTAAAGTCAGGGCACGAGTGAAAATTAAACTCTTCACTGCAAAGTACGAATCCTCAAACTCACTTTTTAAGGAAAAAAAAATATAGCTTTTGGTTCATTAAGTATTACGGCTTGGTGGCGCTAGCCACCGCCCGATCTAAAGGGAACAGCCATATCCATCCATCCATCCATCCATCCATCCATCCATCCATCCAGTGGCTGGAACGAGTAGACGACATTATTGTGGCAGTTTTCAAGGGTGCAATAATTACTCGAGGAAAAAAAGAAATCGTATTTTTGTTGGGCGACGTGGGGGTGCGAGAATTATGCGAGTGCGAGGATTACACGGGTAAATACAGTATTGTTGTCAGAAGAAAGTGCCACTTAACAATGATAGGCTCAAAATTCCTAGGAATAAGGACTAACTCTCATCGCTTTCCACTTTATATGCATCATATTGCTTGAACTCAAGAGCCCCCTTCTAAATGTTTATTGACCTTGAGGCCCACTAGTGGATACGCAGGCATTGCAATCGCTATGATGCACAGGGTTGAATCCCCTGACCTCACCTCGCTCTGGCGAAGGGAAGAGCAAAGTAACAACCATAATTCTTCAATTCAGGGAAATGTGTACACCACACCTTTTCATGCTTTTTTTTTTTTTCTGGCTCAAGCAATTCATCACGACGGCCTCTCATTGTGCCCCCAACCCCCGCTTTCACTGGTGCCCTCTCATGTTCCTTTGTTTGTATTAGAGGAGAGGGCATGAGCGCTAAGGATGCAGCCTTAAAAAAAACAAGTCCGCTTTTCGAAATGGCAGCTCTAGTATCCACTCCCTGTTTAGGAATTTCTCATTGCAAGCTTCTATTTTCCTTTGCTGCCTTTCTGTTGGATTTCGATTTTTGCATTGAAATTTTACGATAGTATGTCCACCTTTCACAAAACTTATTTGCTGCTTACCCCTTTCATGACCGTTGATGACCATAGTCATCATTAGATTTTTAAGCAGTAGGATTGATGATGTCTGAACTCAATAACGAGAGAAATTGGCATTTTTCGATGCAATATGGCCTCACTTGGTCCATGCTTTTTGCAGTAGAGTTCATTCTTCCTCCTCCTCCTGTGTCCTGCTTTTCATTACATTGCTGATACTGCACAGGTGGTATCTTTTATGCTATTAAAGAGTAAAGAAACATTATTCAATTCAATTAATGGTGCCGTGTTATTAGGTCAGCAGAGTGAGCAAAAAACGTTTTTCGGTCACTTTGGCTAGCTTCTATTGTTCAGTCGCAAAAAGTTAAATGAGCAAAACGCTTTTTGCGCGTATTCAGTAAAGCATAATTTCACAATCTGGTAAACAGCACTCTTGCCGCGATGCGAAACTTGGTAAGCGAGAAAATGCGTGAAAATAAACGGCGCCTGGAGACGCCACCTTATTGTCGCACCAAACACTGTGATGTCATCAATTTTCAAAGGCATTTACTGCGTTCTATGTAGCTTCTAATTGATAAAATTGAAATACATTGTAATCTGTGGGTGCCATAGAGTTAGCATACGAGTTCTCAGAAAACATAATTGAGCCAATGTCTCGAAATTACGAAAAGTACAGTGTGGAGTTCTTTATGTCACACGCGGAGATCACACCACAAAATTTAGAAATGATTCTTCAACTTTGATTTGGTCCACTAATCATGAATTTAAGACCGTGAAACTTATGACTCCAGATTTCTCAGAGTGCAGTTTATCAATCTAATAAAACAACTCATCGTTTTCTTTAGTGTACTTTTAAGAGAAGTTCATGATGGGAAACAAATTGTGCTTGTTAATTTGTAATTTTTTAGCTTACACATGCTTGTGAATGATGTGTAATACTAGCTTCTTCATGTCTTTTCCCTTTTTTTGGCCTCTTAAGTCTTTTGTCTGTGTTTTCAGTACACTATAGACGTGGATGGACTTCCTGAGCTTATGAACAAGATCTTCCGTGACTTGGGCATCACAAATCCTTCAGAGTACAAGGTGAAACTCTCTTGCTGGCTCAAAGAGAATTTTAATGAAGAAAGAAAACTCAGCTTTGCTAATGCTCTCAAACATTTAAAGTTGTTTGCCAGGAATGTTCAGGAATGTTTCAGAATATGTCGATAGTTAGAGCCAGTTATGTTGCTCATGTTTTTTCACAATTACAGGGTTTGCGTAGCCCCTTGAAATTCTTGAATATTCCTGGTATTGAGGGTATAAGTTCAAGGGCCCTTCAAACTCCTTGGATAATCATGAACTCATTATCATATTCCACTACATAAAATTAACCATGTATCTTTGTAAGTCACGCTCATTTCAAGGGCCCTTTCGCTTACGAATGACCATGAAAACAAGCTGCATTCACTAAAAGGCGTCGATGTTTCAGTTTTAAATTGTGCAGCCATTATAGCGTCTGGCATCTAATATCAAGGCTTGTTCGAGTAGTGAATACAGTAGAATCTCGATGATAGGATTACAGTTGATCTGAATTTCGAAATGATACGAATTCTAATGTTGTTTCAGGCAGGCTATGCTATACCTTGATATAACAAAATTGACAAATTTGCAGGTAATTTTGTTAGAAAAAGGATTTTGCTATATGCTATAATTATTTGCTATAATATGCTATAATTATATGCTATTTTGCTATAATTAAACAAAAGGGGAACTGAAGGCATAGCTAACTCATAACACTTATTTAGCGTTAAAAAACTATGTTATCATTGTGCTAACATTTATATGAACAGCCTCGGTGTTTTTTTGCTGTCGCCACCATGTTTCATAACAAGTCCAAATTGATAAGGTGCCCCCGCGCACTGTAAATTTTACGAACGGGTAAAAGCGAAGGACCACTGCTGAAGCAGAGATCAAATAAGCCAGCTTGTCTGTGTCTCATGAAGGGCGCATGCGATAACACCCCCCTGCGTGTTAGAACTGCTGTCCAATGCTCAAACAGAAAGAAAACCGCTCGTCCTGAACGAGCATGGAAAAAGGAGGGGGAGGGGGGATTCACTCGACCAGCAACAGTGAACTTTGATTTAAAGGGCGCAGTTGTGATCGCTGGCATGCACATTATTCCAGCAAGCATTCGTGCGCTTTTAATGCGAAGAGACTCTGTGAAAAGAGCGGCTGTATTTGCTTACACCAGTGTTTTATAGAAGTTCATCGGAACCAAAACAGTTGGCTACCAGCCGTGCGCAGTCAAGTCATGTTGCGCTGCTCGTGTGCAGTGGACCATCACACGTTGGTATCTTCCAAGGTGACTGGGGAAATCAATCGTATAGCACTGAATCATAGCGCATTGACAGTTGAACCTGCTTATAACTAACCTTCATATAACTTATTCCTTGATATAACGAAGCTTTTTATTCACCATCCTTTCCCACAGGAGCACATGTCTTTGCGACCGCTATGTAGCAAAGTAACAACGGGAGACATCTTTGATATAACAACTTTTCGCCACAGACTATCAAGAACTTTTCCTCTGATTTTGTCATTTTGGTACGAGTATGCATCTTCCGCGGTTGCCCCGATGAAGTGCGAAGCGAGGTAGCGTGCTCATGGCCCCGGTGACTTCCCGAGAGAGCAAGTGTTTGTTACTGCGCACAGGTGTGCGTAAGGCGGACCTGCGCCCGATGAGCCGGCGTTGCCGCCGTTCTTCGCCGCGAGTGCATGAGCAAATATGCCCTTCCCCTCCCTGCAAACCAGAGGCGAAGAAAGAAAAGTATTTTTTGTGTCGGTAGTGCCACGTTTTTAATTACCACCACATGTGGGGCGCGTGGCATGTAGAGAGCACTTCATCGAATAGTTTTATGCGGTATCCATGTCATTTTCTTTTCATTTTCGTCGCCGTGCATATAAAATTATAATTTGCTGCTATCCCATGAATTGCATTGCATTCAAAGCACCTTCGTGTTGTTGACAGACCTAATCCGCTAATCACGAACAGTACAATACACGAAGTTGCGGTGCGGCGCAAGACAGAAGCGCAGGACGCGTCGACCTCCGAAGATTCATTGTTGTTACTGTAGTCTCGGAGAGTTACTATCAGCGCCTAATCTGACATCCTCGCAGTAGCGACGACCCGGCTGTCCACATTTATGAAAAAAAAAGCAAGCAATAATGATTCTCTGTCAAAAAAGTTCAAGTGGCCCAATGGGAAAAATACTAATTACATCAATTGGTTTTCAACCCATTGGAATTTCGCCACCAGTTGGAATCGTGCCAATGATATCTCATTGGTGAACCAGTTCATATCCAATTGGTTATAACCATTCAGACAGAACTGGTGGCTGATTGGTTGACCAATTGATGCAGGTGGGGGACCAATTGGTCATGCAATTGAAGCTCACTGGGGCCAAAATGGCTGACCTGTTAAAGTGAACTGGTGTGGAACTGGTAATCCAGTTAATCGTAAATGGTTCCCCAGTTGAAACTAGGTGGTCTTCAATTGGTTAACCAATTGGAATAGGTGTAGTCATGCAATTGAAGGTAGCTGGCATCTAAATGGTTTGCCAGTTGAAGAGAACTAGTGTCCAACTAGACGGCCAGTCTAAGGTACATGGTGTGCAATTGGTTAAGCAATTGAATAGATGTGGTCATTCAATTGAAGGTAACAGGTGCTCAACTGGTCAGCCAGGAGAATTAGGCTGGTTGCCAACTGGTTAGCCGGCTGAGCGCAAATGGTCATCCATTTAAAGCAAACTAGCGCTCAACACAAAGAGCCTTTATTAGACAACGATAGTTCTACGAAAATGTCTCATGCAGAGTGAGCTTTGTAATAAAACACCCAATTTCTGCTAGTGAGGGTATTTGTAGTCAAACTGCTACCTGTTCTGCTGCAGCTTCTGGAAAGGAGGTCGCTGGTGCTCAGTTTTTTTTTTTTCTTTGTTCCGAGTTGCATCGGGAATCATGCAGGCAGGCTGTGCTAAAGAAAAATATAAGGCAGAGAAAAATGAGCTACATGGCTGAAGTAAAGAGGTCAATACACTAGTCTAAAATGCTGTAACTGAACACTCTGGCACTTTCCAGATCGGGTAGTTCGAGATACTCCACACGTGGAGAATTCGTCCTAAGCGGTCATGCATGCCAACATCGACAGTGCAATTCGAAGCGCGTCATTCGAGTGTTCCAGACGAGTGTGGTTACCTCTGCACGAACGGTGGAAATGTTATCGATGTAACAAGGCTTACCGCGTACAATAGCTCCTACACTTCATGCCGGCTGCGCCCGTGCACCGTGTCCACTACAATCGCGAGCCAACACTAGTAAGGGTAACGAACAAAATGTGCAGAAGGTGCTAATAATACAGCAGTTAAGGCGGTTCAAAAACAAAATACTTGCCTTGATTGTGAAGAAATGGGGCTGATTTAATGGATCATGCCAACAGGATTATTGCAAGGACGCTGGATATAAAACACGCCGGTAAAGCTGATTACTCACGGAGACCTTTCCTTCCTCTGTGTTATGACTTAGGTTCGCGGCGGTGGTGCGCTGCTGATGACGATGCTGATGGCACTTGCCGCCGCGCTTGCACTGTGAGCGCATGCACTTTATGAAAGTATAAATTACATGACTATTGCTTTGGTCAAAAAACAATACAAAATTTTATAATGAAAAATTAATTTTTAAAGTTTATTTTGACTTTAATTTGTTGCTTCGAATGCAGCGTTTTTGGAAGGCTTGTTAGTTCTAAACCAATGCTTGCTCAGCCTCTTTCTCACTGTGTTCTCTTATGAATAAACTGCGGCGGCTGCTCACGTGATAAAGATGTCAAGTGGCAAGAAAAGTGTGCAGCAGTACTGTAGTAAGGTGTTTTATGATTTTAAAAAATGTTACAAAATTTTTACCACTTTCACTCATTGCCGATTTCACAGAACTTGCACATGGCACTCCAAAGGTTCAACCAGTTAAAAAGAACTGGTCTTTAGCTGGTCAGCCAGTTGAAATTAACTGGTTTCTACTAGGTGAACCAGTTGAACACTCACAACATGAACTCTTTGTAACTAGAATCTTTCCAACAAAGGGTCTTCTCCAATTGGAAAGTCTTTTCCAATTTGGGTGTGCACATGTGATTGGACCAACAAGCATTCTAATTGGGAGGCCGATTGGAATCCACTGTTCCAATGGTTTACCAATTGGAATGTGTGCAACCAATTGGACTGACAAGCATTTCAATTGGGACACCAAGCGGAAACTGGTGGGCCTATTGGAGTGACCAATCGTAACTGTGTGGTCCAATTGGTTCTGCACATTGAAGCACCACATCCCAGTTGCTTTCCAATTCATTCCATTTAGGACCAATTGCTAGGAACTGGTATGACCGATTGACCAATTCACTTTTTTTTTTACTGGGTTGTCGTCGAGGGCCACACCATCCGCGCGCAGTGGGACATTGCAGGCATGTAGGAGGAAAGCCCATTCACACTTGGCCTCAAAAAGAGCAAGTGCGGCAAATCTCGCCGCAATTTCCCTCACATCACTGCTTAAAAGTGACCATAAATCCACACTGTGAAGCTGACACGAAAAAAATTAGTCTGAGAGCAATTTTTCTGCCTTGCGATAGCAAGTCGCCTTCCTGCTTGATTGCTTTGACTACAGTGTAGTAGAAGGAGACGGTGGGCTCACTGCCCCATCCCTGCGCTGCGCCGCCATTACCCTCCCCGCGTCGACATATCGGGCGCCCACCAGGGGTGCTGCTGCCAGTTTCTCATGAGAACTTCTGTGGCGCTGTAAGAAATGCGTTCGTGCGTCCCTGGGGTGTCCCTGGTTACGCTGCAGTTCGGGGGGTATTAAACGTGGGGTTAGAGGCACGGAGAGGGCCTCCACAATGACGCAAAAAGTAAAAATTATATGTACTGTAAAACGCGTTATATTGAACCCACATATATGGAGTTTTCGGGTATATCAAACTCAAAAGTTATCCACCTGAAAGACCTTTCTGAAAGTATAGAAGTTCGCACGTTTATATCGAACGGTGTTTTTACCCACCTTCAACTATA